GGAGTCCAGCTTGGCCTGTCTGCCTGGTTGGAATGACACAGGGCAGGTGTTGGAGCAAGATTTGTGTTAGTTTCCTTTGGCTGAGGTAACAAATTGCCACATGAGTAGTGACCTAAAACAGCATACGCTTGTCACTTTAAGGTTCTGGAGGTCAGAAACCCAAAATGGGTCTTGCAGGGTGAAATCAAGGGGTTGGCAGGGCTGCCTTCTTCTGGAGATTCTGGGCTCAGCCTCACTGCCTGGAACCTAGGGTGGGACCTCAGGACTCCCCCAACTAGACCAGGCCCTGCCAGGGGAGTCGACCAAGGGGGTAAGAGCAAGGGAATTCAAGAGGCGAGGGAGGGATGAGGCTGGGTGGGGCAGAGACCCGGGGCTGAGGAAGCCGGAGCAAGGGTGAACAGAACAGCCTCCCTGCCTGGGAAGCACTGAACAGGAGCGCTGGGGGCACAGAGGATTCCCCTGGGTCCTGTGTATACTAAGAGGGAGGGACAGGACAGAGACCAGCAGGTGACCAGGCAAGTGGACGGGGAGAGAGCAGGGGTGTGAGTAGGAGAGAGGATGGGAGACACATAAATTCAGGGAGAGAGAGAGAGGGACAGAGAGAGTGACAGAGAGAGATGAGAGAGTCAGAGTTAGAGGTATGAAAGAGAGACGGAATGAAGGAAGAAGAGAGAGAATGAGGGAGAGAAAGAGGGACAGAAAGCAGCAGATAAATAAAGTCACGGACGAACTTGTGACCCACAAACAAGCAGGCACAAAAACAGGGGAGGCAGAAAGCCCCCGCCAGGCACCCCCAGAGGCAGACGAAGGCCGAGACCCAAAGAGACACAGGGAGAGAGGTGGAGACAGAGAAACAGAAAGAGCTAGGGCAGCAGAGGAGGGAAAGAAGAACCAAGAGAAAACTGACAGAGGGAGATGGAGGGTGGGTCACAGGGCAGGCAGGCAGCTCACCAAATTCACAGATGAAGGCGAAGGCCTCCACGCAGTCCCTGGAGGTGGCCCAGGCCGCTGAGGGGCCCCTGGTGATGTAGCCGCAGGTGGCAGGGGCAGCCTGTCCCTTAAGCCAGTTGCTGTAGCTCACGTTGGAGGTGTCCAGCCACATCCCCGGACC